TATATATATATATGTTCTCGCTGAGGGCCTTAATTACATGATTTCAATAATTTCGCACCGTGAATGAATATTGTCTATTCGGTAGCAATTAATATCCTTAGTTGACTACAATTTTATTTTAATCAAAATTGATCACAATTGTCCTATAGTACTAATAACTCAGAGTAATACCGTAATCAGTCCCATGGGAGAGCTCGGGCATTTGTGTCCATAGGCAGATTCGCAGCTGCCGCCACGTTTGCCAAAGCGTTCCGCAACCAAGTACTCCCGATCGGAGTGCAGGGCATAGTGGTCCAAGGAGCTCGATGGAGTCAGCACTATGTGCAGCAGCTCACCCAGTAATCCACTTTCATGGGTCAAGGGCAACGCTGCATGTTCGCAAATGACGCGCAGGAGGCAGCTGCGTCCAGGTAGCTTTATGTTCTGTAAAACCGTCTCGATGCCTCGATAGATGACCCAGCGATACATGGAGCCCATGTCGGATGCTTCTTCCATGTGACCCACATGATCTCTGCCTGTTATGGGCTGCGGCTTGAGGTAAACTCTGGTGATCTCCTCGGCTGTGGTGGGCAGAAAGTATTCCGTCTTCAGCACATAGCCCGACGTAACGGACTCAAAGGGTAAGTCCTCCACAGGAATGCCAATGCCGCCAATGAACTGCACACGCGTTGGGGCGGTTGCTGGAAAGAGCAGAGATCTGCCGAACCGCTGTAGATGATTAATGGGAGAGCTAGTTAAGCTGCTGTTCCTGCTGCTGCTACTGGCCCCAGCCACGACTGTCAAGTACAAAACGGCAATTGCTCTCAGCATAGCATCAAAGTCTCTTTACGGCTGCAGATCCAAAGAACAACTGAGCCGGCAGCACACTCCAAGAATTCTCGCACCAAACACTCACTTTCTTTGTAACGCGAGAGAGGCGAGGTGACAAGCACTCAAATCAGATCAATTAGCAACTACTTGAGAAATTGTAAGTCGCTTAACTACCCGGCTGTGGTCTACTTATAAACAATTTCACTAAAGCCCATAAAGCAGCTACAAAGGGCTTTTGGGCTATTAGAAAAGAGTGCTAAACGATTTCCATAAGAACGAAATTGCTAACAGGTTATTTGAAGTGCGAAAGACGAAAGTATTTCCATTCTTGTGTGTATGTATTAAATATGTACATAACAATATGAAAATGTAAATAATTGTGAATTAATTTTTAAAATTATGAAATTGTACTTAAATACTTAAGCAATCATGAGCCTCTCAGTTATTGTAATGTGAGTTCATTGATCAAGCTGAAAGTATATTTGTTCTTGGGTACATTTATTAGATATACATTGAAATTTACCATAGATACCATAGATAGATAGATAATTATTATTACTATTAATTACATTTATAATTGCAAATTATTAAAATGACTTAGATAGTGAATCTCCGTATTTAGGTCGTCTCATCAATCAATCAATAAATCAGCAATGTGTTCAAGCCAGACAATGATATTAAGTAGCTAAAAGCTATTCAGGCATTAAGTACTCAGAGCAGAAGTTTGCTCTACTTCAAGCAAACCAAATCTATTGCAGTGCGAAAAGTTTTGAGACTGACTGTCTCAAGAGGCTCGCCTGTAATCCGTTCTTTACTTTTGCTGTGAGTTTGCAGACATTTTCGCATCATTGGCATAGATTTGCAGTCTCATATGCCAGCTGTAAATAGTTTTTATTCTACTTTTTACGTTTTTTTTTTTTTTTTTTTTTTTTTTTTTTTTTTTTTTGCTGTACGACCCTTATTAGAGTTGACAGTAACTCAACCCACACAATTACGCCCGATCCACTGGCAATCCGCTCTCCATGGTTAAATAAAGCGTACAAATGCATGAACCAAAGGATTTCGAAATGTATACACTCTCGTACATAAAAGAAATTGTATAAAATGTGTGTTCGCATTGGCATTAAAACACTAAGCGCCGAGCTCAGCGTGTGGGATGACTATCCTGCTTGGATTTAAGCTCTCTGATTCCACTCTTTTTCTTTCTTTTTGAGCATCGCTGGGCAGAAGGAGAGTGGCAAAGGAGAGAGAGAAAGAGCGGTGAGGAAGTTATGCCGACAACGACTTGAGTAAGTTAAGTGAATTGCTGTTGCATCCAAGAGCTGCAAAGGAAACGCGCCACAAGGCAGGAACTGGAACTGGGAACTGGCAATGGGCATGGGAATGGGCGCAACACTCCAAGCTCCAAGCATCTAGCTGCTAGCTTCGAGCTCCGAGATTAAAGAGCAGCGAGAATGGAATGGAAAGTTCTATGGAGGCAAAAGGATGGCGCATAAAAATAGATGACGTTCAAGTGAACGACGGTAAATGCATTCCTGCAGAGACAGCTTAGAATCGGACAGACACTACGGACTGCGAATAAAGTCGGCTATTTATTAAATAAACGAAACAGAAGCTGAAATGCCGGACCAGTTCTCCTGAATGCTCGCAGCACACAAATACATATACATACATACATAGGAATGTACATTATCGAGCAGCCATAAGGAGATTATTTAATAAAAGCATTTAAGGGCTTTACTTGAGGAATGTTGTGCTTGGCCCATGTGCTCAATTGATTCGATGAGCTTAAAATTCTATCTGCTATGAGTGAATAACATGAGCTATTAGGCAAAGGTGGAGTTGGACACGCAACTATGTTTATTCAATAACAAACAAACAATTTAGAGCTGGCAGCTTGTTCTGGGCTTTCTATTCATGCCAAGTTAAGCCGAAAACGGATTGTTAAATGTTGCGGGTAGAAAGGGAATTCGAAGCCTTAAACAACAAAATACAGACAACAATCTGAAGCCACACATTATTGACATAACTATGATTATATCTAGCTATAACAAGGCAATATTTAGCAGCAATCAAGTATATATACATATATATATGTAGGCAATTCGCCAAATCCATTGCCAAATAAGAATTCGCATTTTTGTAATTCGACAAACTGGTAAAGAGAAAAATTTTGGAAAGCAACTTCTGGCCCAAAACCGAGCAACAACACTGAGCGAGGCAAAAGTTTTCTGCAACACTTTGAACTTGGCTTGAAAGTGGCAAGTGGCATGCGGCATTCGGCATGCGACATGCGGCATGCGGAACATTTTATGTGGCTCGTTAGAAGCCGCAAAGTTCATGCTGCGCACAAAGTTCGCACAGTGGGCCCAGCTCCGGGTATGCAAATTGCAATTTGAATGGCTTCAATGGAAAATAAGTTAGAGTCACCAAAGTTGGCAAATCAATTAAACTGCGAACGGACAATTGACATTATGTAATTGATGAGCACTAGAGAGACGAGTATCAAACAGCGGAACTCTACATGAGAGTGATCGACTATCTATTCTCATATATTACAGCTGAAGTGCAACAGGTTTATTAGTATTCAGCTTAGTCTCAGAGAAGTGAGATGGAGATGATTACATTATGAGAAGGACGACGCTGATTAACATACTTTTAAAGAAAGCGGAAAAGGCTTTTCTCTTGTGCCTTACATCAATTTACGAAACCCAGAATACCCTCATTTGCAAATGTGCAAGGGGTAGAGGGTATAATGATGAAAACGTTTAAGAAACTGCAGCACACAAACCGTTCAGACTTAATGGTAGTCTGTGTGTGTGTGTGTTGTGTGAGTGGGTATGCTGCCGCATCTTGACCTCATAGTTGGCTTAAGAATTGCCACATGCTGGCACATGCGAAGCATAAATCCTCCAGCAACGTCTGGCAAATAAATGTATCTGCTGCATATTTAGTTGGAGTGGAAGAGGGCGGTGGGGTGTTTGCAGTGCAACTAAATGTAATGAGTGAAATTATTATGCAAACGAAGTCTGTAAATGAGTGCGTGCCACACACAAACACAAATACAAACACACACACACACACACACTCACACACATGCATCAACAAAACACTTGAAAATGTATGCCGGGGACAAGCAGCAAAGGAATCTTATGAAGAAGACAATGATGATGAAGCTGATAATGATGTAGCTCATCATCACTGTGATGCTGATGACGTTGAATAAACAGCGGCGGCAGCAGCTGTTGCACTTGATGCAAGTGTCATTTAAAGCACTTGCAACGCTTACAACAAGCACCTTATAACATTTTCACACCCTTACCCTGCCCCTGCCCCTGTATCAGCCTCACCCTGTACAGTTGGCCTGGCCCAAACAATGCGTTACATACATATTATTCATGGCACTTTGCACCCTATAATTGGCGAGTTTCACATTTCAAAGAGCACAAGGTTTCAAAGTTAAATTTCGATTTCACTCGAATTTCGATTGAGCATTGCCGAAAGGCAATTTAATGAAAATATACATATATACATACAAAGTGTTTATATATGTGAAATTCCTATTGACAAAATGTTGTCAAGCATCAGCAAACACGGCCTATTAAAATGAAAAGCTCGTCCACTGATCCAAACGGAAATTGGGAACAGTTAGGAGCTGTTACATTTGTCCGCCATTGTGCTGGCTAATAAGAGGTTCCAGAATAAAGGAAATTCAAATAAACCAAGCATATTTGAGGTAGTTTCTGTGAGTGAGATGACTGAGCGAGTGTTTACTTAGGCATGTGCAAAGAGGAACCTGGACTAGAGTAAAATAATTAGGTTGAAATTGAAAATTGCATCCTCTATCTGTCGCATAGCCCTCTCTTAATATAAAGGTATTTACTTTATAAGTGTACATGACTCAGTATAACTTTCAGACTATTGCTTTTAAGCGCCAAGTACATTAAGCTCGGCATTATACTATGTTTGACCTCAAGCACGTGCTAAGACCAGACACAGTTCAGCTCCTGGGCTAATGGCGCAGTTTGAAAGCTCATTAATTATGAGGAGCCTGTTGTCGAGCATCAAAGGCCTAAGCCTGATAAATGCAACATTTTCAAGCAAAACAATGTCCATACGAATTATCTGTCATGATACTACATATATGAATATAGGAATAGAATATATTATATATTACGCTCAAAATCCGCAATAGAACTGCCTCATGGCACTCGGAAAACAATTAAGCCGAAAAGCGACAAAATGTTTAGGAAGAAATATAAATACACTTGGAGAAAAACTCTATGCTGCTGAAGACTGGAGCTGAAATAGTTTTAGGCTTTACATGGTCAAAGCTTTTATACATTTTTTGCGCCTCGATATACAAATTTAAGTGCCTTCTAATTCCTGATTTGAGTACACAATTGTAGAGTGCAACATTGTATGTTGATACCATATTTATGGTCGAATTCTTAAACCCTCATATTCTAAGTGTGTCTGTGTGGGTGTGTGTGCCTGGGTGTGAGTGTGTGCTGTGCAGGATAATCATTTTCAGTGCTTTGCCCTCTGACTGCCTGCCCGTCTACCGCCTGCCGCCTGCCGCCTGCCGCCTGCCTGTGGCGGGCAGTACTCGTATTCCTGAGCATTTAAGCGTCTCTCATTTATCACACATTTCTCATTTGCCTTTCTCTCTCCCTTTCTCTCTCTCTCCCCTTCTCTCTCTCTCTCTCTCACTGTCTGTGCATTGCCCACTATATAACTCGCACAAGTCGAGCCAAAATTAATATGCGAAAATAAATTATCAAGCCAAATGAGCAGCGTGTTTTCTTCAACAAGGTTTTGGCCAAAAAAAAAGAAAGAGGAAAAACAAACTGTGTTTCGGGGGTACGCGGGAGCTGCGCGTAGAAAATGCCTGCAGAAAGGCATTCCATTTGCACGCATGTTTGGCCACATGGAATGCGTTTGGGGCCTTTTCAGCTTCATCAGCCACAGCATTAAACATCATTTGTTATGCGATTTTACGCCGAGCAACGTCAGCAACTAACTGGCCAATAGGCTGGACAAGCGTGCTACGTACGAGCAAGTGGCAGGAGAAGCAAGAGGGGTCATGGACAGGGGCGAATGCGGGGTAGGTGACAGGCCAGGCGGCTGTAGCTAAAGCTCGAAATGCCCAACAAATAATGGACACCCAGTCATACAAATTTAACTAAAAAGAAAAGTAAGTAGGATCTAGGCGGCCGTGGCCGATTACGAAAATTACATGCCATAAATGAACTAATATTTATGTACATTATCCAGGAA